TGCAGCGAAGGCAAAGTTGAAGAGCGCAGAATTCGAGAGAAGGAAAAGGGTCAAGAAGGAAGACCTTGGGCTTGCTTCTCTCAATGGTATGTATGCATCTAGATATCTATGCTCCCTTTCGTTTCTTCTCTTCTGCAAAAAAAAAGGGGGGAAAAAAAACCTGGAAAAAAGACTTCGCCCATTGTTACAGGTACCTGGGGTCCACCAGAATTCCACCTGTCAAATGTTTGACCCACGTGTTTGACCCACTTGTTTGATTCGTTGGTCAAACACTTGGTCAACGTTCGTTTTTTGACTCAAATATTTGGCCCACGTGTTTGACTCGTTGGTCAAACATTTGGGGCGCTACCGGACCACAGTGGCTGGCGGCGCGAGCCAAAAACGAAAGAAAGTGCACTGCTGGCGGCTCGGCAAAGCTTGCGGCACACACAGTGCGAGTCCGCTGGACTCGGGTGTAGTGCTGGTTTAACACCTTTTTGTTGCATGCTTGATGAAGCCTTGAACTGACCTTTCTTTTTTTGAAAGGTAGACGGCCTTGATATACCATCATTGGACTGAACGGCCTCAGGTCATTCAGAATTATTTATTCTGGTCATCTGATTGTATCTGGGTTCGAACTTGGGTCTGATTCATATTTCAACAGTTCGTGGGTGTACCAACTGAGTTAGTCCCGTCGGTGGGATGGCTTTCTTTACACACCATGCTCTACGCGTTTGAAAAAAAAAGAAAGTGTTGTTGTTATGATGCGTGAACTGATTTTTTTGAAGTGTTGTTGTTGTGATGCGTGAACTGGAATCCGATGCAGATGGCTCGAGGAGAGCATTCTATAAGGAGTTTGTGAAGGTTATAGAAGCTGCGGATGTCGTCATCGAAGTCTTAGATGCGCGCGATCCTCTAGGATGCCGGTGCAAAGAAGTCGAACGGCTTGTTCTCAAGGGTGGACCGAATAAAAGGGTTGTGCTTCTCTTGAACAAAATCGGTGAGAGCTTATATGATTGATTCCCTGCCCTTCTTTCACTAGTTCATCCCATGCGATCCGTTTTGCCCGGATGGATGTGCTGCGAAACGGCACCCGGGTACTTCGTGAGAGTCGCAGCAGCATGCACGCCACGACTCTGAAAAAAATGGCTGGGAAAATGTACTGGTGGTTTTAAGGAAACTCAAATGACAGGCAACCGCTTGCTTGTTGTAATGGGATGATGGACTTGATTTTTCCAATAGGTGCTCCTCCCCACAATAGAAGGTATGGTTAGTATAGCTGTATTTGCGACAACTTTCGGTCTATATTGTCCCGTCGTTTGGCCTGTGACGTGGGGGCGTTGTCTGCATGTGGAACTTGTCTTGTCATCTAGGATTTGTTTGCCCCCTGTTCTGTAATGTTTGGCTGTTCCCTTCCTCTTTTCATTGCCGCTTCGCCTTTTGGCTGTGTGCAAGTGGGTCCATATGACACACGGGGGTGGGGGCAGCCACCGCTCAACCTACATCCACGTGGGCGGCCTTGTATGCAAGAGGTTCTGAACAGGGGGAGTTGTAAGAAAGACGAATAAAAAAATGAATTTATTTTTCTTTGTTTTCTTTCTGTTTTCCTTTTGCTTTTGCGCTCTGACAACTTTGTGACAATATATATATGAGTCGGTGAAACTCCGACGAAACAGTTTGTCACAGCCCCTCGTTTGTTGTCCTCTTCTCTCTCTCTGCCTACGGTTTACCGGGCAGTTCTGTTTGTGACGATATATATATATATATAGGGTTCAGCCTCCTGATGAGTCGGTGAAACTCCGACGAAACAGTTTGTCACAGCCCCTTGTTTGTTGTCCTCTTCTCCCTCTCTGCCTACGGTTTACCGGGCAGTTCTATTTGACGATATATAGATATATATAGTGATAATGGCCATACGTTCTATTCAGGGAAAGACGGTAGTTTATCCCCCCAGAATAGGACATACGGTCATTATAGCTGTATTTGGGGAAACTTGTAGTCTAAGGTATAGTGGGACAATGGCTGTGCGTTGTGTTGGGTGGAAGATGGTAGTTTATCCCTTGAATAGAATGCATGGTCATCATGAATGCATATTAAGCTGTTTTCTAGTCTGATACAGGCATTATGAGGGCGGGTTGTGTTTGGAAGAAGACAGTTCATTCCCAACGACCATACCATTGGTTCTGCCTGCGATCGTGCCAGCCGGCAGGTAAGTGTTTGTATCTTGTAGTGGTAGGGTAGACCTTGGTTTGAACCGTGCGATTCGATTAATCATATTGATGTTGAAGTCCTGCTTCCTTTGAGACTTGGATTGGATACCTGCTGGCACAGCTATCGCTGACTGTGCGCATTATGAAATCCTACACTGTGGCAAGGACTGGTTGGCCTTTTTTTTGCACTCACACAGAGACAGAGAGACAGACACACACACACACAGCGAGCGAGCGAGCGAGCGAGAGAGAGAGAAAGAGAGAGAGAGAGAGAGAGAGAGAGAGAGAGAGAGAGAGAGAGAGAGAGAGAGAGAGAAATGCAAATAAGAAAAATGTTATTGGACGCTATCAAGGTTCATATTGATTACTAATAACAGAGGAGTATGATGTTGGGGCAAAGGGAAATAACTACCAAATTGGACCAATTAATTATAAGAATCGTAAATGAAAATGAAAATGATTTAGGCAAAAAAAAAAAAACACTCTTGGCAGAATTAGCCATCGTCCAAGGCTCACATTTCCTAAGCAGATTCCCTGGCCACCGCTCCCTGGAGACAAATTCCCTGTTTTGGGTCTATTCACTTCTTATGATACTTCGATTGGAGGCATTGATTACAAGGCAGGTTGTGGGAAAAGAAAGGAGGACTAGCGCTTGCAGATTAATATCTTTAAATTGATTGATTAAGAAATTAAAAATATAAAGGAGACAAAAATTTCCTCAATAGCACCTAGTTTTTCATAATTTTTCTTTCCTTTTTGTTCTCTAACGTACCTATCAGTTGACGGTATATTTCATTGACCCTGCATGGTCTTCTTGTTCGTTGGCAGTCCACTGTCATTGATTTTTTTTTTTTAATCATGCATCGGTATTTGTTTTGTGTAAGAAAGATCTCTCTCTCTCTCTCTCTCTCTCTCTCTCTCTCTCTCTCTCTCTCTCTCTCTCTCTCTCTCTCTCTCTCTCTCTNNNGAGAGAGAGAGAGAGAGAGAGAGAGAGAGAGAGAGAGAGAGAGAGAGAGAGAGAGAGAGAGAGAGTCATCATCAGCACTCTGAGATGGAAGCGGCAGATGCGGTCAGGAAAGCTAGCTGGCCAGCTTCCCACCATGGTTGTGATATGCACATTAACGGACAGGTTGGGATACCTCTGCCTGTCTGTTGGTTTATGAAATGTGCACCTGGTAATTGGACTCCTCTCTGCCTTCTCTGGCCTCAGGCTCCTCTTGCCAACTCTTCACCGATTGTTTGCTTTTGAGATGAAGAACCATGAACATTGAAATTTGTGATTCCATCATGTTGATGGAGGAGCCCTTTCACAGCGCCCTTTGTTATTATGAAATGAACGGGAAGATTTATCTCAAAAAAGAGTCGTCACATGCGAGCAATTGCGCTGCCATCATCTGAGTTTGAAAATTTCTCTCTTGCAATCCAGATCTCGTTCCTCGTGAAGTCGCTGAGAAATGGCTGAAGTATTTCAGAGAGGAATTGCCAACTGTGGCTTTCAAGTGCTCAACGCAGTTGCAGAAATCGCATCTGGGGCAGAAGTCGTTGCGGCCAGGAATGACGGACGGGGATTTGCTGAATACGAGCGAGTCACTTGGTGCAGACACTCTTCTTCAGCTCTTGAAGAACTATTCAAGAAATCAGAAGGTGTGTCCTCTTGTGATGCATATGGCTATCCCTCCCACCCGTTTTCTGTGATAAAATGCCTATTCTCCACGCACCGACCATGGCCATGTCATCGACTGTGTGACAGTGTGTGGCGTGGAGATCGACCGCCTGTTTGTTTCTGTTGTTGTGCCTGCCTCAACGTCACCGACACCCTACGGTTTTCCAAGGGGAACGTCAGACGTTGAGCTCAGTTCTCATCGACTTGCAGTCGTCCTTGTGCGCTGTGGGGTCCTTGGAGGCTGACATTGATGTTGAGGTGGTGGTTTCTTCTTTCTCTGATTTCGAGTGTAGGGAATCGCAAAAAAAAAAAAAAAAAAAAAAAAGTGTAAGAAATTGCAGATGTGTCAGGAGAGCTTCTGAGTGCAATGGAACTTGGAATTACGGATGGAAAAGGAGACCCTCCTCCCATGTAAGTGTAATGGTTTAAACTTTAAATTTTAAACCGACCCTGCTGTTGACAGCTTGAAAAAAAAAAAAAAAAAGTACAATCTAGACTTGGCATGCAGTAAATGGGGTGAGTTGGTGGCTTTTGTTGTCACTACCTAGTTTGGACTGTAAAGGTCTGGTTCCTTGCTTTGTTGCCACGTGGCACATCTGTTTGTTGCAAGTTTTCTCTCATTTTGTACGTCTTCAACCAGCTCGCTCCTCTGTAGTGGGAGCAGCATCTCGTTCCTGATCGACATATATGCGTTGATGAGGTGCTCTAGAGCTTCTTGTGAGAACCCATAACCCTGGGTTCAGTGTGGGAGCAACATCGTTTTGTTCCTGATCTCTATGGATGTCTATGATTCCTGACCTCCTCTCTCTCTCTCTCTCTGTGCTTGTCTTGCAGCTGGATGCAGTTGGATGTTTTTATAACCATGTGATTGACGGCAAACCCATTTTGTGGACATTCGTGAATACTGACAGCTGTCCTCAATGACTCCTCTGTGTGTGTGTGTGTGTGTGTGTGTGTGTGTGTGTGTGTGTGTGTGTGTGTGTGGATTTGGGTGAGTGGGTGGCTGCCTTTGTTTATGCAGCTGAAAACATCTGTGACCGTTGGTGTGGTTGGTATGCCCAATGTGGGTAAGAGCAGTCTGATCAACAGTCTGAAGCGTTCGAGAGTGGCGAATGTGGGATCGATGCCGGGTGTGACGCGATCAATGCAAGAGATTCATCTTGATAAGCATGTGAAGCTGCTGGACTGCCCAGGAGTGGTTTTCGCATCTGCGATAGGCAACGAATCTGCTGCTGCTCTGCGCAATTGTGTGAAAGTGGAGAGCCTTCAAGATCCCATAACCCCAGGTTGGTCCAGATTGCCTTGCTGTCATGCTCCCGGTTTCCTTCTTTTTTCTTTCTTTCCATTCTAGTTCCATCTGGATTCGAACTCCTGTCTGTCTGTATTTCAACAGTTCATGAGTGTACCAACTGAGCTTCACCCGTCAGTCTGCTCCTGTTTTCTCGGTGTCGGTGTTTGACACAAGTTCTGGCAAATCATCGGGGCATACTCACAGTAGGACGTTTTCGACTCATCTCTGGACGTGTTTTGCAGTCAGATGCATCCGGGTCTAGCTGCAAATGCGGTCAGATACGTTTAGGAAAGTGCCAAGTGTGTGATTATGCCCTCATATTATGATTGATCTGGAGGCTGGATGTGCTTTCTGTTAGGTATGTCCATTTGCTTTGGTGTAGTTTATTAGTTCTCGGGGCTCGCTCACCTACACAACACTCTACATGCATTTCAACGCTGTCCGGACGCGACACATTTGAAATTTTGGACTTGTACGAATGCACCTGGTTCTGAAGGCGTCCAAATGCATGTAGAGTGTCGTGTAGTGGAGCGAGCCCCCTCATTTGTTCCGTTTGCTTGTTTGTTTGCTTGAACAGTTATGGGGTAATTGTAGCCACCTGAGCTATAAGTGCTCTGGTTTTCCCTGTCATCTGTTGAACTCGTCCGAATGCACCTGGCCCCAAAGGTATCCAGATGCATGTAGAGTTTTGTGTAGTGGAGCGAGGCCGCTCGTTTGTTCTGTTTGATTGTTTGTGTTTTGCTTCGTTTGTTTGCTTGAACAGTTATGCTATTTTCTGTTTTTTGCATGTGTAGCTACCTGAGCTATAAGTGCTCTGTTTTTTCCTGCGAATGCACCTGGTCCCGAAGGCATCCAAATGCATGTAGAGTTCTGTGTAGTGGAGTCGGGCCCCTCATTTGTTCTCTTTGATTGTTTGTTTGCTTGAGCAGTTATGGGATTTTCTGTTTGCATGTGTAGCTATCTGATCTCTCTGAGTGCTGTGGTTTTCCCTGTTGTCTGTCTACCTGTTGTTTCTCTTGTATACAGTGAGGGAGATCTTGCGATTGTGCCAGAAAGACAAGCTTATGAGCATTTATAGAATAGGTCGATTCAAGGACGCCGACGAGTTTCTGAGGTCTGTTGCATTTTCACGGGGGAAATTGAAGAAGGGCGGAGTGGTTGACGTCAATGCAACGGCGATGCTTGTTCTGAAGGAATGGAATGAGGGTAAGATACCTTATTATACACTTCCGCCTAAGCGAGAGGGGGCCGAGCCGTTGGAAACGAAGCTTGTGACAGAGTGGGGGAAAGAGTTTGACGTCGATGAGGTCTTCAAGAATGAAGAGTCCGCAGTAATTTCAGGATTGCGATCGCTGACGGATGACACGTTTGCTGAGCTTCCACCTGGTGAGCCGGTCACCATGGAGATGGGGGAAATGGACGAAGATGGGGACAATGACATGGAGGAGGAAGAGGAGGAGGAGGAGGAGGAGGAGGAGGAGGAGGAGGACGGCGATGATGACGATGAAGAAGATGGTAATGAAGATGAGGAGGGTGCTGATGGTGGCGACGAGAAGGTAGAGGAGATGGATGACCAGGAGACGGTAGCGCCACAACCGCCTGTAGCTAGAGGGCAAGCATACTTGCATCAAACTGAGAAACTGTACGATGTCGAGGGGATGTTCAACCCTCACAAGGCTCGTGCGGATAAGAAGCGGAGGAAGAAGGAAGTGAAAGTGCAAGCAAGCAGCATGCCACAAGGAGAGGGAAGGGGGGAGGAGAGCAAGAAGAGGGAGAAGAAACCTGAAAAGAAAGGTAGCGCAAAAAAAGACAAGAAAGGTAGTGTAAACAAAGACAAGAAAGGTAGCGTAAAAAAAGACAAGAAAGATGAAAGCATGGAGGCGGACGATGGGAGCGACTATGACTTTGCAAAGGATTACAGCTGACGTACACGACAGATTGGCGTCAGACGATGAGTACAATGGTCTTGTAATTGTTGGGCCTTTCCTTGCCCTAATAATTTTGCTGCGGAGAGAGAGAGAGAGAGAGAGAGAGAGAGAGAGAGAGAGAGAGAGAGAGAGAGAGAGAGGCAGGGCAAGTGATGTTCACTTAGGACCTGCAGCTGTGTTTAGGAGTGTCAGTGTATTTTTCTGAGATAGGTTTTCTCATCGGTAAAGTAGGAAGTGATGCCAGGTGCTCCTAGAGTTGAGGTAAAAAAGAAGTGTTTGCGCATAGTAGCTGTCTCTGTGCTACTCTGTTGCAGCTTTCTATTGGCGGTGTTGTTTGCTTGAAGGTGTTTCTGTGTCCTTTCTTCTTTGGTGATCAGCTATCTATATCCACCGTTCAAAGTGAAACGAAGATAAATTTTACCCGAAGGACTTTTTGTGGCATTGACAGAAAACCGTGGTGAAGGCAAAGGAGGCGGTGCGTTACCTGTGTGTTGTTCATTTCTTTTGCTGCTTATATTTTGATGTTTTTTTTTTTGTTTTGTTATTTCTTTTTTAATTTTCTGTTTTCTTTCTTGTGAAAAGATTGATTTATGAGAATGAACTTTTGTGTTTCTGTTAATCATCACTGGCGGAAGACAGGGGCACAGGAAGAAAGATGGATTATACTTACGGCGTACTCACGCTAGCACTGTTGGGAATGTATGTGACCACATTTACGGCTGGACTTGTATGGATCTGATGGGCGTACTCACGCTAGCATTGTCTTAAATGTATGTGATCACATTTACGGCTGAACTTGTATGTATCTGACCACGATGCCGTCCAGAAACAAGTGAAAAAGTGCTATGTTTGTGCTACGGAGTGAAAACATGATGCTCGAGGATGAGTAAGGAATGAACACATGTGTTCTTTATGACATCCGTCAAAATTGGAACGATACACAGAAGATAAGCATGATCCCTGTGCAAAATTGGAACGATACACAGAAGAGTGTGCCCCCCCAAAGCAGGACGTCTATAATGGCTTCATAATGGTGTGCTGGTGCTGGTTGGCCTGTCTAGTTGTTGAAATCCAGCAGGAGTAATTTGGGTTTGCTTTGCTTGCATAAATGCATGCAAGGGGGGTGGTTTGCCTTGTTGATTAAAGTATGTCAATTGAGTGCGCGTTGTCGGAAGAGGGCAAATTTTGCGCTTTTGCGCGTCCTAGTGGGCAAGGTTATGAGGACAAAGCGTAAGGAAACCCCTGGTAATCTTTCCTTCGGGGTTGCAATCCCCCTCACGCCCACACAATTGATACCCTGCTCCCAACAAGGCCTGAGGGGAAGTTATTGCAGTCCCAGTGTGAGTACATGCAAGTTCAGCATGGCACTCCCAGGGATAGGCGGCCCCGTTACTGTATATACAGAGCCGAAGGCACATACTTGATCCTTGTGATATGTTCAGATGCCAAGGCATACGCTTACACGCCCATGATGTGTTCGGACCCCGAGGCATATTCGTCACCCTTGTGATGTGTTCGAGAATTGTACTCTGTAATCCCGAACAACTCTGCCTTATGTGTGAATAGCCAGGACGTATAGTTCAATGCGATTGGGACTATAGTAGTACTTAGCAAATACTTGGCACACAAGCTTTTGATAATTCATGAACTCCATGCTGAAGGGGGAAAATCTGTGATGGGTTTGAAGGGCCAACAATGAAGGCTACTGTCACCGAGTTGCACGGGGGAGGCGAACTTGTCTGTTCTGTTACGCACTAACAACACAGAATAGACGATAGGTGAATACGTGTGCCGCGATCGAAGAAGTGGCTTGGGCTTGCAAGTGCACTTGTATCTCAGCAAAGCAAACATTTGACTAATGTCTTGTCTTGTCCAGAGGGACGCTGTTGCTATGCTCTTCTTCCTCTCCTTTGTCTGCTTTCTACAAGTAGATGAGCATCAATTGGGTAATAACTTTCTGATGCCTCATCCTGTCTCTCTTCCTTCAGCTTGTTCTAGCTGTGCTTCGATTGCCTTCTGCCCCGTCGTCATGGTGAACTTATGGTGTTATGGGGCTCAAATGCCTGCTTTTTGTGGTAGGGGGTCCAGAAAGGGTCTGTGAGGCATCTGTAAGGAATATCTGGTTCGTGTTTGCAGCGTTTGCACCGCTTGATGATTCAAATTATCATGACCTTTTGAATGTCTCCGACGACAGATGGTTTGTTTGTATGCCAAACAGTGATACACCAATCACCCAAGGCTGATACTTGGGGGGTTTGGGGGTGGTTCTGTTCGTTGAAGCAGCACCCAGCCGTCCCCGTATTGTGATGGTTATGAACTTGACCCATCACGGTTAACGGGGTCCCAAATATTCGCCGTTTTCGTTGGCAATTGCGGTGCGAACTTCATCAAAATTTTTAAAAACAAACGATATGAGACCATAGTGCAAACATAAAAAAACGAAACAGGCCAAAAAGAACGAAAAAAAAAACAAAAAAACACTATGAAACCCTAACACAAAGACACTGTCCGAGTCAAAATGAAGCGTCCAACGAATTCAACAAAATGCCAACTTTTTCGTTATTAATCCAAACATGTCAAAACTGCACAATATATCACACAAAAAGAAAAACAAGAAAAAAGCAAAAAATCAGCACAATATGACAGTTTCAGTGCAATTCGGTGCAAAATTCGTCGAAAATAACACCCCTGGTTAACCTCGTGTGAGATGCAGACATAGCCAGCATTTCTTCTAACTGGCTATGCCTGCATCTAACTTGACCCATCAGTTAGATGCAGACATAGCCAGACGTATCTGTGGTTGACGAAGGGGGGCTGGTCGGGTGCTGCTCCCACAAATTGCTTTCTCTTGAGGTAACCCAAGGCTGATGCTGGCACTGCCAAAAAAAAAAAAAAAACAACGAAGGCTGATGCTGGGCAGTGCCTGTCAATTTGATGCAGCTGAAGAAGCAGTGTACCCGGCCTGCATGTGTTGCAGCTGAAGAAGCAGTGTACCCGGCCTGCAGTGTACAAGGCTGATGCTGGTCTGATGATGGCATTGCGTCTTTCTATGGGTGATGAAGGAAAGTACCCTGCCTTTTGAAATTTGATGCTGCTGAAAGAAGCATTGGTACCCTGCCGTCAAGAGTCAAACAAGAATGAATACCACATATAGATATAAAAGAGTAAAAGCTAAACTTCCTACTACTATAGTCAAAAAATTGACTGTTGCTTCGTGTTCAATATTGAAAATGATATAGCAATTGTAAAACAGGAAAACTCAACAGAATAGCCATGATTTTGAAAGCTGCCTTCTCCTCATCGGGGGACAGCCATATCTTTTTCTCTCACCTCACATATCTTTTAACTCCCCATTCTGCCATGTCATCCATGGAACATATCTTTCTTTTCGGAACCTACCACTTCTCCTAAAGGCTATACAGGGGACCCCTGCAAGCATAGCCGTCTACCTCTCTTCGGTGAAGGCAGGTTAAGTAACCAGTGGCTTCATGATTGTGAAATTAAAATCTTTTGTAAACGAGTGGATGATCCACTTAAACAATACAATTCGCGTGTACCATCATCAAAATCATTTTGAAACAAACGCTCCGTAAACTCTTCCTGTGATGAGTAGTCAAGCTGCAAGCTGGCTGAAGATGAAAGGCGCTTTAGGCCCGTTGGTACACCAATGGACTGTTGAAATATAGACCCAAGCTTGAATCCAGATGCGGTCAGATTAACAAAAAAAATTAACCCACTTCTGAATTACCCAGGGCCGGTCAATTAAATTACAAGAGGCCGTCGTCCTTACGTAAAAAGGGAAAAAAAAAAAAAAAAAAAAAATTTAAGAAAAAACAAAGTGATTTGAGGCAAAAAGAAAAGCAGAAAAAAACAAAAGAGTGCATTGCGGATCCACTACACCACTGCTCGCATTCCATATCAGCACCTGATGGGACTTGCTCCACAACTCACTACATGCATGGAAGACAACAAAATATGTCCGTGTATCTGTCTATGGTCTAGCGGAAGATTCATTCTCATTTTGCACATTTGGCGAGTAGTGGAGCGACGCCCAATGCATGCCACCATGGCAGAACACAAACTTGGCCAACCTTCGTTCCTGCGCAAAGGGATGTAGATTTTGTGGATGTGAAGGGTTATGTGCGGTCACGGTTGCCCCGCAGTCTTCCTTTTCCGTGGAAACTTTTCCAGATCTTGTTGTTGATAGACTTAGTGGTACTCCTTTGTGCTTCTTTCATGTCATCTATAGATAAATTGGTGGGAAGGTTCTCCGGCATGAGTACTGCCACAGCCAGCACAATCTTGTTTTATTATCTGGTCTTCTTGCACATGCCAAGTGCATCTGGAATGTCTCTCTCTCTCTCTCTCTCTCTCTCTCTCTCTCTCTCTCTCTCTCTCTCTCTCTCTCTCTCTGGGGCCCGCACTTCTCTACTGCTTCCTACTCCCTGCACATAGTTCACTATTCCTCTCTCTGGGATTTCCCTCCATTACCCCTTCCATCTGGTTTCCGTGTCTCTTCTTTTCTCATCTGAATTTCTGTCTGATATTGGGTCACAGCGGTCCTCTGGAACGGATGGGGAAAAGGGCTTTCTATTTTTTTGTGACTTGTTATTATGAAAACCTCCACGGGCACTTGCCATGTTGATTGCTTGACATTCCTGGTCACAGCTTGGGAGCTTGTTAACTTACTTCATGCTGGGTCTGATGCATAGCTCCAACCCCTGACACACAAGGTAACAGTTGAAACTTGAGAGCCTTCCACTTGATGAAGAGCCACTAGTACCCACTACTTAAGACTTCTCCAGCATTCCGAATCGTGTACCTTACAATCACAGATAAGCACACATTTATATACACTATCAGACAAAAACACACACACATAGACATGAGAGAGAGAGAGAGAGAGAGAGAGAGAGAGAGAGAGAGAGAGAGAGAGAGAGAGAGATTATACGCAAATACACACACACACACACGCAAGCTTACAGGGTCGAGTTACCCTTGGTTACGATGCAGGTTGGGAGGGGTATGGCCTATTATACCCAATGAGGCCCAGTGTATGACAAGCCGAGAAGACGAAAGGACCCCCGGGCTGAATTAATAATAGTATAGTACGAAGAAGACCAGCAGGGGAGTTAGCCCCTGAGGCGAATGAGTAGGCCTTTTCGACAAAACGGAAGAAAGAAGGGGTCTGGACAAGTAAAAGTTTTCATGAAAGTGGCGGGGACTAATCCAAAGGGTAAAACTTTGGACTGGGAACGGGCCTTGCTGCAAAATCAGGGAAGATTCATAAAACTAAGTAGAAAATGGGGGATTAGTCTAAAAGGAAGGCCAGGTGTGCAAACACTAATCGTATACTGTTTATGGAGAGTTGGCGCTAATCCAGGTGTGCACACACTAATCGTATCCTATTTATGGAGAGTTGGCGCTAA